TATATTATTTATAATATATTTAATTATTTTTATAATATATATATTTATTATAAATATTTATTGATAAATTTTTATATATAAATAAAAATATAAATATATATAAATAAAATTATAAAAATATATAAATAAATAAATTAAAAATATAAATAAATATTTTTATATATATATATATATATATATATATATATATATATATATATATATATATTTATAAAATATTTAAAAATATATATAAATTTTTAAATATATATAATTAAATTTTAATATATATTTTATATTTTATTTTAAATTTTAATAAAAATATATATATATATATATATATATATATATATATATATATATATATATATATATATATATATATATATATATATATATATATATATATATATATATATATATATATATATATATATATATATATATATATATATTATTCGTTCATCAAATGACACATGTAACATATAATTAAAGCACATAAAACAAAAGAGGTGAGACTGCACACTACCTTGAATGTGATATTTTTTGCTACAAAGTATGGTGCATCTACGCCAAAAGTTGCTGAACCATATGTTCCAAGTGGCTGTGACCTGGCTGTATCACCCCATTGAACCACTGTATTTTCTGCCCCAGCACCTTGTATTTTTATGTAGGCTTTTGTTGAAGGTATTGTTACCTTCTCACTTCAAATAATATTTAGTTCAAACAAATGAATAAACTTCATGCAAATATAATATACATATACGCATATAAATGGATGAACTAAGGAAGAAGAACTTACGTGTATATCCCTGCATGAACATCGATCAAAACTCTTTCTTGGTTCACCAAAGGGAGAGAGTCAATTGCACCTTGAATTGATGTAAAATTTCCGGATCCTGGATTTTTATCGACTATAATGATGATAGAAGGGGCCTTGATGATGACTTTGTTGCTGTAGCAAATGATTATTTCATTGTTTCCATTAATGAGAAGTAGAATAAGAGTTGTTACAAGATGGAGGATATGTGTGTAGGGAGACATGGTTAACGATGTAAACAAGAGAAAAGATTTTAAAGAGAGGAGAGAGAAGGTTTTAAGGAGAAGAGAGAGAAAAAATGTTGGACACATAATGTAATGGTTTTGACTTGTAATGAAGTTAGTGCTTGCAGGAGTTATATATACAGCTCAGCATCACAATTAATGAGAAAATTGTAATTATGGTCCTCCAAAATACCTAGATAAATTATACATACTTCTTTGAAGTTTTGTCTCATTACACGTATTATTTTCTCATTAATTGGTTTTATTTGTATAATATGCTTGTAAAAACATTTGATACGGTTTTAGGTATTTACTATCAATCGCTTCCTCCGATCGGTGGGAATTATTAAAAGACAATATGTGTAATAGTAATTAGGTTTACCATCCTTTTGGATATTTAATCGGTAGTCCATAATATTTTGTAAACAAAAGCAAATTTTACCAACTCTATGAAGATACGCTTTTCGACTAGTAATTTCTCCGTGTTTTGTCTCGATATTTGTAAATTATTTTTATATATTTTCTCTTCTTCGTAAATCATGAAATTTTGTGAGTCTCTGAATCTCTCTGTTCTAATTACTGTGATAGATCTTATGCATAAATTGAATGAGAAATGAATTAGTTATGAATTGTGTCTCACCACTGCACTAATACAGGATCAGTCTAGTGTTTTCACTTGACTGAAGTTTTACTCACTCAAATGTCTTGTTTCCACTTGAAATGTATTCTCGACTCGTTTTTAAATTGTGGTATAAGATTGGAAGGTATTTGAGTCAGTGAAGACTCATGGTATAATGTATGGTAATCATTTAAATTCATTTTCATTAATATTTTAAGAGGAATTAATTTTTGAAGTTGCTCCACTGAATCTGTCTGAATTTTTATTAGGTCCAACATACCTATCTATTTTCTAGTCTTGCATGTAGTATGTATTTTTGTTAATTAATTGATTAGGGTTTAGTAAAGTGTGATCTCTCTCCCTCTGATTTAAAAGAAAATTTTTGACATAAATTTATATCCACAGTAATTATTTTTCTGAAAGTCTTCCGCTGAGATTACATATAATAAGAGTAATTGTGAGAGGGACGTCACACATTTGTTCATCGAGGCCTTCTTTATGCTTCAATAACTGTGCGATCGTTCTAAAGGTTGCAATCATTGACTTAGAGAATCACATTCCCTAATCATCACATACTCAGCTCTGGACAAAGACTTAATGATTACAAACTATAAGAACACACTGGACATCCAAGATTATTCTAGCGATCGAATCCCCGACTTCAATGCACAGACCACCCACTAGATTTCGGACTACACGAACACTGGCCCTTAGGGCGGCTCGGTAGAACTAAGGGACATGTCACGATTTAGCTGGTATTGTAGTGAAGTCACGGTGATGTTTGAGTTTTAATAACTAATGGTATACAACTATATCATAGAGACCTCTACTCGATTATTAAGAATCAGTTAGAGATCTCTAGGATGAGAGAGTTCAGTGAAATCATCAACTTACGAGCACCCACTTATGTATGCCGATACCACAATACCGTTTAGTGATAAGACACAATACACATACACTAAGTGCTAGTCTCCAATGGGAAAAGGCCGATATCCTCATTGGTGGCGTAACCTTTTGACTAGGAACATGGTTTAACAGTCATATTACTTAACTATATCTCATCTTCCTACTAGATCAAATATTAGTAATTATAATAACTGTAAGGACTATATCGATGCTTATGCAAGGGACAAAGATATAGAATGCCAAAATGTATTTCATCGTTAATACGAAAAAATAATATTTATTAAAATAATAAACGAAAGACCACATCCACAAGTTGGCTTGTTGGTCACCTTGCTCTAACAACATCAACACTGAACCTAAACCATGCTTGACATTATTGTGTTTGCTTACTTGATTGAGTTATCTCTGTGTTTAATCACAAAGAAAAACTAGTCATTTAAAAAAAATTATCCATAAGTAAAAAATATTTAATCAAAGCATGTTGTTATTTATGATAGGTCGAGCCATTGAGATGCATCAATAAAGTCAAGGGAAGTAAACCGTCCAGCCTCTTCATCAGTAAGAATTTTTGACCATTTAACTCTTCCTGCAGTATTTGATCCAGGTCCACAGCACTGATACTCCTCAAAGGTTACAGTCCTGTAGCATTAAAGACCATTTGTATCGAAAAAATAACATCATCACTCATAACAATTTCAGATATATAAAACAACTTATATATGGATGACTTACGATTGTCTAGATGGATCATTCCAGTGAAACCAACCCTCCGAGTTGACATTGTTTTCCATGTATGTATAAGCAAATATGGTTGTAGAGAAAGGAGCCCATGCTCTCCCTAGGTACACTATGTCTGAACCCGTCACTTTACAGTTGACAAGGGAGAAACCTGTATTTTACGAACTCGCGCTTCTGTTTTGAGCTGCCACTGCCCCTGTTGCAATCGCATGTAGCTCACAACCATGCATTAATAAGAATCATTAGTATTTTTTTTCTTTTCATTTTAAATAAAGAGATAAAATATTAAAAATATGAACAAAATAAAATTTTAGTGGAGATAGATGTTCCTTACAAAATTTCATGATATTTATATTTATATACTTGCTTAAGTCATGTCTTCACTACTGAGTGGACCCCTTTATGAATTTTGTGTATGGATATACATAGAAGTAGGAATAAGATTGATTGGGATTATACAACCAATCATTTCGTAAAAGAAAATTCAATCACATTTAGAGAAGTAGTAGGCTTCTGTAGTTGAAAGGGAAATATTAAAATTTAGCTTTTTTTAACCATGAAAGTGAAATGGTAGTTGGTAAATTGACTACTGTAGTACAATTATTATAGAGGGTCGGATATATGATGATTTGTTGAAATTCAAAAATATTTGCAGATGGAACGACGGATCAGGAGAAATTGATCTTTTAAGGTAGTCGAGGTTAAATGGATGGTTAAGGTTAGACACATTGCCTCTAAGGGGGAATCAATTTGATTGTTCTAATAAGAAAATGTTTAAAAACGCTACAATTAAGTTAAGGTGATTGTCCCTTATAACAAAACTCAACAAACTATGAGAGAACGACAATAAAGATCAATTGAAATCTGTAGTAACAATGTGACTTGCAGTCTTATCATATAGTCATAAGGTTTTTATGTGTTTAGGACACATAAAATTAATATTTGAGAACAAGTGAACATTAATGGGCACTATCAAAAGGATATATTGTATGTCTAGTTATCAAAGAGTTCACTCATTATGAACTCAATTAAGAGCTTATATCATGAACATAAAGGACGTATTTCTGAAATTATAGTCATTATCAAACTATAAAGTGCAACCACCAAATCTTTAAATCTAGATATTCTAGAATATTGCTTGCTAACGAAAGAAGTCCATTATGATAATAAGATTACAGCTAATGGTCTTACAATCATAAACTGATTATCTCCTGTGTATTTTGAGATAAATAAGATATTACTTTAATTGATTTTTAGATAACAAAGTTTTTTTTAAATAATATTAATAAAGTCAATTATTGTATATGTCACACTAAAGGGCACTTAATTATATAGTCTCATTTTGCATTTAGATACCGCGTGCATAAAGTAAGGTAATATTTGTAAGTCTTCAAAATGGATCAATAATAAAAACAAGCAAAAGGATCGTAAAATAGTTAAAGTGAACAAAACGTTGTATATGCTCATTTATTGAAAACTATATTTTCTTGGGGATTGTGTGGTTTAATTCTTATCCAATCCATTTTAGTTTATGTAGCTTGTTAATTTATAAC